CAGACCCCATCAGCCCACCCGTGCCCTCCCCTCCTCACGAACTGAAGCCCAGGATGAGTCCGTTTCTCCAGGCGACGCGGGTGTGCCGGAGCTCCAGGACGGAGTGGTACTGGGGCCGGGGGCTCTGTGCACCCAGCATGTCCAGCTCTGTGGCTCCGGGGACATGAGGGGCACATGTGAGAGACGACCCTTCTCTGGCACCCGTCTCCCATCCCCCGGCTGGTGCATCGCCTGTAACCAGGGAGCTCTCCTCCTCTGAGCCGTCCTCCGGGTCCACGCCCCCAGGTTCTGCAAAGTGCCACAGGATCTTCCGGGCCCGGGCTGGCTGTCCTGTGGCCAGCAGCCAGCAGGGAGACTCAGGGAACAGGGCCGGCGACCTGCAGGGGTGGGGCGAGAATGCCCACAGGTCCTCTCCGCAAGGAGGGCAGAGGCTCACGACGCCTCTCTGGATCCAGGGGGAGAAGTCATGCCGCGGCTTTCTGGATCCCTGTGCCACACCCACACGCCCGGTGCTGCACAAAGGTGCGGAGAGAAGTGACACACGGGGCCGCCATACTGTCACTGAACCGTGACACGCTTACCCCCAAAAGAGCAGCAGAAGGCCAGTCACCAGGGCGCTGAGCCCCTGCAGGAGGCGCCAGTCCTGCGCCAGAAGCGCCAGGCCAGGCAGCAGCAGCGTGCCCAGCACGGAGAAGAGGCCGGCTCCCACGGAGAACACCAGGCGACGAGGGGGGTCACACAGCTCCAGGCCTGAGCAGACGCAGATGGCCTGAGGACCTCTCCAGGGCTGCGGGGACCGGTCACTAACCTACAGCTCCAGCACCTGCACCTTCCCACCAGGGACAGACCTCATAGAACAAAGAGTGCCCCTCCCCCCTCCGCAAGAAGGGCCCTCAGCGGGAGTGCCAGAGGGGCCTCCCATGCCACCTGACTTTGCCCCGCAGCAGAGTGGGAGGCCTGGCCTGAGGGGGTGCTCCCCAGGGCCCCCACCCCCGCGGTACTCACGAGCCACGTAGAGGGCAAGGGAAAACCCTGCCAAGGCCCCCCCGTGAAGCAGCCTTAAGGTCAGCAGGGCGGGAAAGCTGGCCGCCAGGGCCTCACTGGCCCCCAGGCCTGTGGCCAGCACCAGGGAGGCCACGAACACAGCCCGACGTCCAAACCTGGGGAGCAGCCAGGGAAACGTGGGTGTGGGTCAGGACAGCTAGGGCATCCGGCAGGACCCTGAGGGCCTGGAAGGGGGGGGCTGCTGGGAGAGAAGCGAAGGGGCAGCACCTCACCGGTCACAGCCCGCACCCAGGAAGACACAGCCCAGCAGCCAGCCCAGGAGGTGGCTCATCTGCTCCAGGGGCACCTTCCAGCCATCCTCACACACCAGGTTCCACTACGGGGACACCAATCACCTGTTGGCTGGCCGGGCCACCCTTCCCATTGCGAGTTCCCAGAAGGCCAGGCTGCAAGGGGCGCTAGATGGCCTGCTCCAGTTCCTCTCTGGAGATAAGGGGAAACTGAGGCACAGAGAGGGTTGAGGACCTGCTCAAGGTCACACAGCATGATCTCCTGACTCTGGTAGTCTTCCCGCAGAATCTGAACAATTCCTGGTCTGAGTCCCCAGAGGGCAATGACAGGGGTCCCCAGGACACCTACCTGGAACCCCAAGTCTGTTTTTTCTCTGGATGGGGACCCACTCCCCTTTCTGCAGCCACTGGTCTCCCACCAGGGGACCCTTGACAGAGCTGAGCCTCCTGCTGGCTGCCGTGCCAAGGCCTCCAGGGCATCGCCCTCACCTCCCCCGACACTGCTCACTTCAAAAGTGATTTCGGGAACTGTGACTCAGGCCTGCGCGCACCTGCTTTTCCCGGACATGGCCCTTGACCTCAGTTTTGCACTTCCCCACCTCTCCTTCCAGGTCTCTGCGCCTCCTCCCCAAACTTAACGTACTGTTTTGGATCACGCTACGTCACAGTTTTTATCTTAAAAACCAAACGTCTGTGAAAGCTGCCGGGGTGCTGACTGATCAGTACCCCCACAGAAGGGCAGGGGTGCCGTGGGGCAGAATGGACGGAAGACAGCAGCCCAGCCGGTTTCAGGGCCTCAGGCAAAGACGTGGCAACCCTGTCCCTGTTCCCACACTGGAGCTGATCCTCCCGGGGACAGAGGTAGGGATGCGGGGCAGAGGCTGCCAGGAGGGAGGCAGAGCTGGGCGGGTCCCAAGCCCCAGGGAGGAAGGAGCGGAAGAGGGGCCTGGGAGGGTCCAGCTGCCTCCTCCTCTTCTCTTCGCAACCCACCCCTGAGTCGCCCCCACCTCCCCTCCAGCTTGTTTGCACCTCAGACGAAAGGTCTGCTTTTCGCAAACGTATCTCCACGTGCCTACCTTGATTCAAAGCCTCCTATCTCGGGAACCCGCTTTCGACACCCACATGGCCCAAAGCCACAGCTTGCTCAAAACGCTGGTGGCACTTGAGTGCCACCTACTGCGGACCACCTGGCGCCGATCTGCTCAGACCTGCGGCTGAACGCCTCCTCCCCCAGGCTGCCCGCCCGCAATGGCAGTCCTCGGGCGGCAGGCTCCGCCGTTGGGCCCGGCACCCCCGCAACCTGGGCATCTGCTGCGTCACCTGACGACCGACTAAGAGCCCAACCTGACAAGCCCCAGCCGACCACGGGCAGAGGGCAAGGGACAGGAGCAAGGGGGGACGGAGGGAGGTGAGGACGGAGGAAGGCAGACAGAAAAGGGGGGGACGAGAGGCGTTAGAGTGAGAGCAAACGGGATGAGGCAGAGAAGGCTGAGGCGGAGACCCCGACCGTCGGGCCCGCGTGCTCCCGCGTCCGGTCCTCCGCTGATCTGATCGGGAGCGTACCTGGGTCACCGGGCTGCGCAGCAGGCCGGCGGCGGGCAGCGCGTAGTGCCAGCCGCGCGTGCAGGGCCGCGTGCCGTTGGGGCGGGCGTGGGGCTCGGGCTCAGGGTAGCGCAGGAGCAGGCAGGGGCTCGGGGCGCGCGCGGGTCCCAGGCGCGGCACGCTGGCGTCGAGCAACGCGGGCCCGCGCAGAGCGCGCAGCGCGGGGGGCAGCAGCTCGGGGTCCGGCCGGCAGTGGTGCGCCGGCGGCGTGGTGAGCAGCGGCTCGGAGCCCAGCGCCAGCCCCAGCGCCACGCACGGCAGCCACGAGGCGGCGGCCAGCAGGCGCCGGGCCCGGCCGAAGCCGCCCGCCGCGCGCAGCACCCGCGTCTCCGACTCCATCTGCGCCTCTGCGCTCGGGCGGGCGGGGCCTGCGCGGGAGCCGAGCCACCGAGGGCCGGACCCTGGGGCCAGGCCGGCAAGGGCGTGGCCTGGAGAGCGGGCTAGAGGAGAGCCGGGGTGCCC